CAACAGCCGCTCAGACAGCTGGAGAAGACACTTTACTTATAAAATATACAAGGGTTTAAAGAAAATTAAGCCCGATGGTCATTTTCTGTTCACTTCAAGATTGGCATTTTGGTAGTTTTTAATCTTTAGATCAATTACCTTTTCAGTACCAGGGATTTCATCTTTTATTTTAATCTGCTGACCCTTTCTAATTCTGACATGGCCATTATTTTTAAACTGCAGTACAAAATTGTATTAACTATAAACTATCTTGACATTATCTTTAGCATAATTCTCAACTGGTTACCTTTAGGATTAAGCCACAAAATAAAATTATTTTATTTCCTTTCATGTTCCTATTCTATTTCCTTGCTAGTTCCATACATTTTCTCAGAAAGTACTATTTACTGGTGTAGAAATTTTTAATTTATGAACAGCAATTTTTATCTGATAATATCTAGAAAGTTCAATATTCGCAACAAGATAGCAACAATCAATCTCAAATGATAGCGCATAGCCACTTTCTATACTGCCCACATAAGCTTAAAAGACTTATTTCAGTTTTCAAATTTTTCCTACTTAGTAATATTTGTGAGCAGTTCCGAAACATTACATTCTTTCTTTATTAGTTTTCTACTATTTCTTAATAAGACACGGCCTTTTTGCTTAGGGATAATGTAGGGCAGCTGAAAAACATTGCTAAGTAGGAAAAATCTGAAAATTAAAAATAATTGAGATACGCCTTTTTGAAGGGGAAATTAGCAGAGTGCAATTAGCAGAGTTCAAGAAACTGGTTTAATCATTGTTAGTTTTGAACATATAGCACGTAAGACAAAGACACAGACATAAAGAACGTTTCACAAGCACAGTTCAAACTACATCACTAACCGCCTTATACCGGCTCTCCATGAAAGGAATCATGGGATGCATGTAACGTCACGCAGTGACGTATTGTATCATGACATCATCACAATAGCTTGTGATTGGGTGGAAGATTGAATGAAGAGACTGAAGGAAAGTTAACTGCGTATAATTTCCAACACTTTTAAGCTTAGGAGAGTGTAGGTAGGCATTGCTTCCACAACTCCACCCTCTATGGTTCAAATGTAATTTCGTTATATAAGAATACAACTTTACACCATGTTTAAAAATACCTATTGTACTGTATTGCAGGAAGCATTATCAGACTTCTTTATAAAAACAACACATTTATTTAACGTACTAGAAAATCACCCGTCATGGTATGACGGGTGCAAATTGCCTCTTCATTCGAGAGATTTCCCGTCAAATTTGACGTGTTTAAATAGATATATATGCGAGAGAAATGTTTAGCATTGATTGAAAACAAATAAAATAAACATAAACAAACTATATCACGCGCATGATATACCACTGACTTAATCTACTACTTTCTATTAAAAAACGGAAATTAATTTGAAATATATGATCAATATAATTTAAAATTTCTCGGAAACTATTGATCATAGCGAGATAAATTTTGTATCAATGGATAGCAAATTTTATTTCACTCCTTTAGAGCTATTAAATTGGGAATTAGAACGGCACTTACTTTAAAATTTAAAATGACTGAAATTTAGGTTCTCTAACAATGAAATAATGCTGTTTAAAGTGCTATGTCACCAGTTTTATTGTTGGTAATGTCAGAGCATTACCTAGAGACAGTTCTTGGCTATTATATTTGTAATTTTTCACAAAAACAGATCTTTTACTAAAACTATGTACAACATCTCATTCATTACATTTTTTTCACATCCAATTTCAGTTTTTAAAAACTACATATATTTTTTCCTGCTTTGCTAAGAAACGTTCGTTGAAGACAAATATCGCGTTGCCACACTAATTTTTTATTACCTTTAGAAATATTTATATTTTTTGTTACAAATAACTTCAGTGCAGTTTTAATGATGTTGCCGAACAAAACTTTGGTGATATTAAAAGATATGTTACCGAATATTTTCCCCATTTGCTTGCGTTCTTCAGAAGAATCTTTAAAAAATGAATTTGATATAGAGAGTCCAGTGTCCACTCTAATGTAATAATCTCAATAACTTATTTCTAAATCGTAAAAATATTAGAAAAATGCGTTAAATGACTGAAATAATTATATTTTATGTTTGAGTTAATAAATGTATTGCTGAAAAAAATAGGAAATCTATATTTTTATGGACCAGTTTTCTGTTTTGTTTATTTAGGGTAGAACTTCCGGTATACCAACCGACTTTAGTGTAATGCTTCGTCAATAGGAATCTTCAAAATTTCAATACTCTGTTTGAAGATGTTAATTAATGTTTAAAGAAGAGTTTTTTAATGCTATGCTTATGGATACTTTATCCTTATACTAATTTTAAGGATATTTCAGAATATTAAATTTGATGTTCCTGTTGCTGTGGCTCTCAATGTTTACTTAGAACAGGAGCCTCGTTTTGTGAAAAGGCTGCCATAATTGTTCATTAACGCTCTTTTTGGAGATTTCAAAGGCTTGTTTGGCGGATAAATTCTTGATCAAACGATTTAGATAATCACTGGCTGGTAAATTTTTAATGAAACTATTTAGCTAATTACCATCCTTCCATCAAACTTAACATATTTATTAAAAATTTGTATGAATGATGCAAATCTGGATGTTTAAATTTCAGGATTGCGGATTTTCCTTCCTAAAAAATCATAGGTGTTCCATTACAAACAAAAAAGGCATTGAGAAATAAGATGTTATCTTTACATATGTCTTACAATTGATCACAAATTTCCATGAAAGAATCGTTTTGATACCATACTACTCCATGAAAAAGGTACGACATCGTTTGCAATTCTGAAATCAGGATGAACATCTATGGGATTGAAGATGTTGAATAAGGAGGATTTTGTTTCCCTCATTCCATTTTCATCAATAAAAGCCACTGAGTAAGGAGCCAGTTCAAAATTTAAACATAGTCTACCGATCCATGGTCTTACCAAATCTTTTAAACAGCAGCAATGAATGGAAAGGCACGATTACATCATGAATAATCACGAGTGTTTCCTATTTGAAATAAAGATCTCTCTCAACGCCAGAATATGTTATGTCATGGAAATTATCACCAAACTTTTTCCCCCCACATAGTTGCTCCAGTGCTTATGGCGTTACGGCAGTTTATCTTTCCCACAATACCTCTAAGCCCTGTTGCTATAGGCATGATCACTTGCACACTTGGAAAAGGGTTGTAGGCGCCAAACTAATGGGATATTTTCTTGACTTCTTGGTTCTTTCTCGAGATTCCGTTGCATCCACATGTTGTTCACAACTTGCAAAAGAAAACCCACAAAAGTTTTTACACCCTTCAGAAA